GTCCCCGACCCAGACGAATCCGAGTGGGATCGCTTTTTCGGTCTTACGGAGGTTGAGGCAGAGCACAGCATGCATGGGGCTCACAAGCTTGGGCAAAAAGCAAAGGCCGAAGGAAAGGCCTGCGTCGGCACTCTGTACATCTGCGTGGTTGCATGGGTTGTACCAGGCAAGCAATACGAGTCAAAAATAGGTTTGAAAAGCTTAAAGGTGCTTTACGTACAATTGTTTTCGCACATATCATTGCTCCACCAAGCCATGCTAAGCTTCTACACCTTGAGCCTCAAGATCAAACTGCCCGACGCATTCCAGATCCAGTGCAAAATCAGAAACTGGGCCTTGAACCAGACACGGTGCTTCAGAAACAAGACACGCATAAACTGCTGCGCATCAGAAACCGCCGCACATCAGACACTGCGCATCAGCAACCAGCGCGCATCAGAAACTGGAGTTTGGAAACTGGCGCGGGACCATCGAAGGCGGGGACGGGTGGGGGGGATGGTACCGTCCATGGTCTAACGCATTCTGAGCACAAAGCAAGCAGGGCCCAGCAGAGCATCCATGGATCAACCATGATACCATGGTCTTAGGCATTTTGACTCCATGAGTCAGAATGCATCAGACCATGGTATCATGGTTGCCATGGATGCTCAACAGAGCATGGCTTAATCGACCCAGCCCCCCCCACGCCAATATTTAATTTGTTTGAATTATTTCATTCCCGCCCCAATTTTAGGTAATTTTAATACTTTGGATAATTTAACCGAGGGGGGGTCCGCGCACCCCCCGGCCCGAATTTAAGTAACTTGAATAATTTAAATTGGCGGGGCCCCGGATTTAAATTATTTACATTGTTTCATTCCCGGCGCCATCCCCCGAACCAGCCCCCGGCCCCCCCGGCAAATATATAGATTGTTTAATTCCCGGCCGCATTTACACAATTTAAATATTGGCCGGGGGGGTCCGGGCACTCCCGGCCCGAATTTAAACATTTAAAAAAATGGCGGGGCCTCGGATTTAATTCCCGGCCCCATATAATAAGTAATGAGTTTTTTTGGCCGGGGGGCCCCGGCCCTGGCCCGAATTTAAATAATTCAATTAATTTAAATCGCGCATAGGATGACTTGCATGCCACAGAACTCGGTTGACTCCGGGTGCGTTGGGTAACAAAATCAGGTTTCGTGCGCAGGCCTGTGTTTGCATAGTGTTTCACTGCCGCTCAATTCCTTTATTCGTAACTCCACTGTGCTTTCGAGTTCCGCACGGAAGGGGCTCTTTGCTAACACGTTATCGAAGGACCAGGGGTACTCCGAGATCAACACGATCACCGCAGGCATCCATGGCTCGCTTGAGGAACATGTCACACAGTCCGGCTGCAGGCTCATGCATGCTGGCACATTTGTCGCGTAGGGAACATTTGGACACAAAGCGCAGTACAAAGCGCCACAATAATATGTTATTAGCCGTATATGTGGATCAACCACAGAATAGGCGACTCGAATCAGGGAACAAGGCGCCTGATAAGAACACAAGAAAGCTGTGCCACGTATCCCGGCTGAAAGTCTTAGGCCTTTGATGGCCTTTGAACCTGTGGTGCCGGAAATGATAGCAAATACACACTCGTGCCCTGGACGATGTACGACAGTTGAACCATCGAAGGTGTTTTGCTAGGAGACGTCGAAGTAACAAAACACATGACAGGAACATAAGAAAGGTGTGCCATACATCCTGACCGAAAGTCTTAGGCCTCGGGACCTGTGATGCCAGAAGAGAGACCAGATACGCACTCGTGCGCATGAACGAAGTACGACTGTGTATGTTAGCGCTAAATATAGCTCAGTCGGAACATCGAAGGTGTTTCACTAGGAAGCATCGAAAGTGCGTTTCCGCTAACATGTGTCGGTGCTAACACATGCTTCGGGCAGCACGTGGTCTGAATGCAGCTATTCCGCAGTCATTGTGTTGACAGGCCTTGCTGCTAGTGGTGGCAAATTTGAAGTGCTCATGACGTAGATTCGACCAGTATATCGTCTAGCCGTTGTCAGGCACTCATGCCGCTGGGATTACAGTGTTTAGTAGCGATACCTTCCGAAGTTAACCCTGAAACATCGCAGGTGTTTCGCTAAAGAAAGCATCCAGGTGTTTTGGGTGGCATTTCGGCTCGGGCATCTTGTGAACTTCGCTTTCGCGCATTCGTTCTTGCTGCTTGCCTGAATATGTGCTTGAACAAGAACAAGACTCAAAACAAAGAGCTCCTCTGTGACCAGGCTACGTTCGATTCACACATCCAAGTCCAGACGCTGCCGGCTCAGAGAGAACTTACAAAGCTAGTGGGGGCAATGATAGCGTGACGTAGTTACATGTGAGGTCCACAATGCGCTTCTCACAGTGCCTGTGGTTTGCGGGCGAAGACGTCGAGTTACTTGCGATAAGCAATAAACAGGGCGCAATGCCGCAAATGACAGCACGCTGTAAAGGCCAAGGCTGTCGTCGACGACGGAGACAGCAGCAACCGAATACCGGAAGTCTCGCAGATGTTCTCGATGGCATCACACATGTAGAGAGTTTGACCCACTCCGCTCGGGATCGACTGAGGCATCATAGACCAGGGGTGGCGGATCGTAAGGCTCCTGTGAACCGACCATCGTGCTTGCCATCTTGCGAGTGTACCTACATGAGTCACGTGCAGCGGCAACGTGTTGTGGTGTCTGAGCACGGATGCCGTAGGGCCACAACGAGAGTGCCTGCAACATCGCCTGCGAGTGCAGGACTGTTGTATGAAGAAGAATCGTGACAGTCGTGACATGTGATGTTAAACCCAGTAGCAGTGGTTTGATTGCAGAGGAGGATCTATGCACAAGCAGCGGGCATGCTGTCACTCGACATTATAATGGCTGACACGGTGTGGAGTCCACGTGTGGAGAGTGTTCTGGGGGGATGTTATAGTAACTGGGTAATGGAGTGGTGAAATCATGAAAGCAGTAGCCCCGCAGGGATGTTGAACGGACGTGGCCAATGGCAGAAGACGACAGGATACTGAGATCCTGCTGTCACCTGCGTACCTCGAGCTCTGTTCCGTGGACGACGTCAAGAGATGCGTGATTTCAGTGCACTGTCAGGACACTTCTTCTGTATCAGGGGATCTCTGCTGGTGTCAGGTTCATTTCCCATTTGAAGATAATATGACGCTTGAGATTGGCCACAGCCGCCTTGCACGACCGAAAGGCTTGCGTGCCGGCAGTGTCCCCACCACGACTCCTACAGGTGCAGTGGTGGAGCGCGGCTTTGGAGATATTCATGGATGGCTGGGAGAGTGCAACATTCCACTGTGGTCGCAAGTAAGTAGCAATCTCCACTTTCGGATCTGCGGATTCACAGCTGAGAATGAAAGAGGGCGGTTGTCGCTTTCTGTCGACAGAGGTCAGCACGGCGTACCTTATCCACCTAGAAGGAGACCTGCGTGGTGGGACTGTGGACCACCACAGGGTAATCGTCGCACCAGCTTCTTAGATCGGGAGCCTGCGAGATATAATCGTGTTGGGATTGGGTACCTGCAGCAAGGAAGTACGAGGTGTAATCTCCGACATCAGTTTCTGGCGTGATATGGATCTGCAGTTGCCACACAAGCTCGATAATCGATATCATTTTCCGCAGAAGCCATCTTTTTGACCAGACTTCTTGAAGTATGGTCTCAGAGTATCCGGACATTATCCTGTCCACATCAATTCATGCATTTTCTAAGTGCCATGGACAGCAAGCTGCGGTTGCGTGGCACAGGCGAGTACTTGCCCTGTCTGTTGAGCCAGGAGTTCCCCGCTTTGGCGACACGTGCGATATACTGGAGAACAGAGCAGCAGACTTATCGAGCAATGTCCATAACGGTCTCGATTCCTCGAGGAACGAAGTTTCTGGTTTTGGCTCTTCGGCGTGCGGATCGGAGCTCTCCGCAGAGCAGCACATGCATGATTTTTGGAAAGCCATTCACGGCCGAGAGCCGCGTGCAGTTCCGACTCCCCAATGCCGAACGGATTCCCATTCCCGTGCCTAGCTATCTGGAATACAACGCAATCTCTCCGCACACAATCGAATTCCATTGGGGACCCAGCTTCTTGGAGTTTCTTTTCGACGGGATGAGTGTCGCAGTGGCTGTGCTGACACAGGAGCAGAGTCGAGCCATGGACGCGGACTGCCGCTATGTGTTGGACTCCATCTGGCGATGACTTCAACAGTATTCAAATGCTTCTTTTGGGTACCCAACTTGTGCCTATCGTTCACGTGACAGTCTTGCTTGCTGCGGCAGGTGCGAGCACTGGTTTTGTGATCATCATGGAACCGAGGAGGGCGACATCTGTCTGGCTTGTGTACCGGAATCCTTCGTGGAGGATCGCCGCGCAGGAGCCGCCATGCAGACGCCGTGGCACATGAAGCTGAGCATAGAACGTCGTCGGCCAGATGCTCTACGGGGACACTGTCTGCGTTTCCGAGATGATGATGCTAGTTTGTATCGACTATGTCAGCGCCTGCAAACCCAGCAAGACCGTGTGTACGTCGAAACACCACCTCCTATAGGAACACAGTACACTTGCTGCGTTCAAATCCAGATGAACGTCTGATGCACCGAATTCATGCAGCGTGTAAACATTTAGATGAAAGTGTCTTCTCTCTGGTCGCAGCGGAAGAACGCATTCGAGGGAACTGCTCCCTATTGGACTGTGGACTGGACACATGCCTGCCACAGCGCCTGCGAGAAGTAATGGCCCAAGTCTCGATCTGCGTGTGTTGCCACTCTGTCTTCCTTCGACGTCGAGGTTCTCGATATTCTTGCGGGTACACCCACATCGACGAGATGGAAGACTGTAGTTCCGAGACGTGGATCATTCGTACAGTTGGCAAGGCAACAAGGTCAGTCTGTCCGTCACATTCACTCTCCGGCCCAATGCTTCAAGTCATCGGATGCACTGCAAGCCATGCGCCGTGGTCGCAACTGGCCACGCGTCGAGTAC